GCGTGTCCTGTGTGTGGGTGCATATGTGCTGGTTGTGGAAGGAGCTGTGTCTGAAGCTCTGGCTGCAGATGTCTCAGGCAAAGGGCTTCCTACCGTTGTGGATGCGCATGTGCCTGGTGAAGTTGCACTTTCTGGTGAAGCTCTCACCACAGTCACCACAGATGTATGGCTTCTGCCCAGTGTGGGTGTGGCGGTGCCAGGAGAGTGTAGAGTTTTGCCTGAAGCTCATGATGCACTTGTCAGAGACATAGGGTCTCTCCCCAGTGTGGATGCAGCGATCTTGGTGAGGTTGGACTTCTCGGTGAAGCTCTTGCTGCAGGTGTCAGAGGCAAAGGGCTTCTCCCTGGTGTGGGTGCGCATGTGCCGGGTGAGGCTGCACTTTTGGGTGAAGCTCTCACCGCAACCACCACAGATGTATGTCCTCTCACCATTGTGGCTGCGGCGGTACTGGGTGAGGTTCGAGCTGTATCTGAAGCTCTTGCTGCACTTGTCACAGGCAAAGGGCTTCTGGCCAGTGTGTGTCCGTATGTGATGGGTGAGTGAGGAGCTCTCAGTGAAGGCCTTGCAACAGAGGTTGCAGGCAAAGGTGTCCTTGATGGTGTGGGTGTGATGGTGACAGTTAAGTTCGGGCATCTTGGTGAAGCTCTTGCCACAGTTGCTGCAGATGTACAGGCTCTTACTGCTGTGCATCTGTGTATGTCTCAGCAGGTCCAAGAGCTGGCTGAATTTCCCCTTGCCCTCTTCACAGGTGTTGGGGATGACCACGGGGTCTGGTGCCTTCTCCTCTCCACTGCACAGCCCGTCAGCCTTGGAGTGGTGGTTACATAGGTGCTGGCTGAGGTCAGAGCTGTGGCTAAAGCTCTCACTGCACTGGCCACAGTCATGCGGTCTCTCGCCAGGGTGGACGTGGCAGTGCCAGAGGAAACTGGAGCTGTAGCAGAAAGTCTCCCCACAGATGGTGCAGGCGAAGGGCTTCTCACTGGCATGGGCACGCCAGTGGGCGAGGAGCTTCGTGCGCCACCGGAAGCTCTTGCTGCACCCGGCGCAGCGGTACGGCCTCTCACCGGTGTGGGTGCGGCGGGGGCGGGGGGGGGCGGCGCTGGCGCAGACG